GCCCATGTTCATACTCAAGTGTGTGCTCTATCATGCTTTTTCCATGTTTTTCAACTTGAATATAGTTTGGTCATTTCTTCCAAGGCCTTCCTCTCCTGCAGTGGTTCACACCCTCACTGCACACTGAGGAGTCTTTAAAAGATATACAATTTTACCTCACCCCAACACTCTAAAAGTCACTTGATCTGGTGTGCTGCTGGGGTGGAACTGATAAGCTCCCTGGCCATTCAAAGTCTCAGAACCACTGTCTGAAGTCAAGCTGAACAGCTTATGGAGCTCAGCAGTCAGACTGGCCAGCCCAAAGGGAGCCACCTGAAATGTGGGCCTTGTGTGTGTGTGTGTGTGTGTGGGGGGCTCCTCTCTAAATTCAGTGAGCACAAGAATGTCCTGGGGATGCTGCTCTGATTTTGTAGGCCTGGAAGAGAGTACAGTGTTTGCATTTCTAACTTGTGCTTCCAGGAGAGGATTGCCAAGTGTCATGGCACCCAGTGTGGATTCTGTACCCCTGGGATGGTGATGTCCATGTACACACTGCTCAGGAACCATCCAGAACCCACTCTGGACCAGCTCACAGATGCCCTTGGTGGTAAGTATGCTTTCATTTTTAAATGATGATAACAGTAGTAACTGGACACCTACCATATGTCACGTGCTGAATTGAATGCTATTTGGAAATTCTTTTAAATACCATTAATAAGGTAGTTACCATTATCACCTTCCTTTCATAGATGGAGAAACTGAGATTTAGAGAGTGGTTTATTAGAAATTATCCCTCCTGTACGCAGAAGCGTTGATTTCTTGAAGTCAACCTGCAGACCGGATCTACCCATTGGGTTTGACAGATGGGTTGCTTAAGGCTCTTCCTCCCTTTCCATTCTGTTTACTTGATTTCTACAATCATCAGAAAGCCAGGTGATCCACCCACCCTGGGAAAGACATGTCATGCCTGAGTGCGGCACTTCTATGGCTGTTTCCTGTCGGCTGAGTGTGCTACTGGAGTCCTAGGCAAGCGGCCTGACTCTGGGGAGACCCCCAGCCAACCAGGTCCCAGCACCTCATCCTGGAGGTCAAGTGGAAAAAGTGATGAGGAAAGGCAGGAAAGGAACGGCATTTTCAGTGGGTTGACACTGGGCAAAGCCAGGAGATGGAGTGTCTCATAACCCTGTCTTCTGGAACACCGCCACGAGACCCTTGGGTTTACAGAGAGGGCATGGTGCAAGAGCAAGAGGCAGGGGGATTGCAGAGCTGTGCCTCGGTGGAACCTCCCCCTGTGCTGTCAAGGAAGTTGCTGATGCGGGGGTGGGGGGTAATCTCCACCGAGGCCACAGGTTTGTCTGTCAAGCCTGTGACCCTGGGATTCAGGCTCAGGAGGTGGTTGCTCCTTAGTCGGGCCGGCTCATCTTGAGTGATCCGTCGGCAGGGCTCTGGAGTTATATAGGGCAATAACAAGACTTCAAGGGGTCTGGATGGGACATTTGGAACTGTCCCGGTAACCCTTAAAAACACCTGAGCTACGTTGGTGTGCTCAGCCCTGGAGGAAGAGGAATAGTGGCTTTGGATGAGCACTCTAAAGGATTTCACACTGCCACGCAGAGTCGACACAAAATCTCATTGGAGCGTGAGGCAAAGCAGACAGACAGACAGACGGAAATGAAGGCAGAGGCGGCAGGTGGCATGCTGGGTTCGGTTACCATCACTGCCTGCGGGCCCAAGAGAAGAGTCAGCAAAAGATTCTTTAGCAAAAACAACAAGTCTTGTTACAGATGCTGTCGCCACCATAGAGCAAGCGCCAGAGGGGAGTGGCTGAGAGCAGCTGGAAGTCGGACTGAAATCTGTTAGTGATGCTTATTTTTTAAGGACTCTTTTCCATTCTGAGCTGTTCCACCAATTCAATCTCTCTCTCTCTCTCTCTCTCTCTCTCTCTCTCTCTCTCTCTCTCTCTCTCTCTCGTGTGTGTGTGTGTGTGTGTGTGTGTGTGTGTGTGTGTGTGTATTCATCAAAAAGGTTCTGAACACATTTTAAGCATTAATAACTTCTCAAATTCTGTGTCTGCCTGGCGAAATGCTCCCTGGCTCTATTTGTCCTTGTCCCTTTCCTCTTATTTCCTCAGGAAACATGAGCCTCAAGCTTGCTTGCTTACTTCCTCTACAAAAAACGTCTCAGGGACACTCAGAGGGAATGCAGGTAGAAAGGAGTGACCTAGCACCTAAGCTGGGTCCTGCCCGATTTCCTGGAGGTTACAATGTTGCCTTGTGCTGTTTGTATTATAAACACTGGCACAGGATTTCCAAATTTTAGGATGGTTGAGATGTGTGTGAGAAATGTATAAATAATGAAGATTTGAAGGATCCTATTACCAGAGAACTTGATCTTGTGCTATTTCTAAAATAAGATCCCAGGAGTTGGGGAAATGGGCTCAGTCGGTGTCTGCCATGAGGACCTGAGGTTTGATCACTACCGTCCATGGAAAAGTCTGGGAGTGATGGTGTGTAACGACTATACTGGGGCAGGAAGGTGTATCAGACACAGCAGGATCCCAAGAACTCATTGGCCAGCCAGCCTAGTAGAATTGCTGAGTTCCAGGTCCAGTGAGAGACTCTGTCTCAAAAACAAGGTGAAGAGCAATTGAGCAAGACACCCAGTGTCAACCTCTGGCCTCCACATGTATCACACACACTTGTACACACACCAGCAGATGTGTACCTAGAACACACGCACAGAATGTGACCTCATATTGGGGGTGGAGTAAGGACACAAAACCACTGTGAGAGAAACACTGACCGGATCACTTATTGTAAATAAGTTGTGTGCTCCATTGCCTCCCAAGTTCAGAAACTACCCACTTTTCCACCTTTTCTTTACTGTTTCAGAACAACTTCAATCAACTGAAACTTCCCTCTCTGTCTCTTTCTTCTTCCTCCTTTTGTTTTTCCTCTGTCAAAAACTGAGAGCTGCCAGAGTAAGTACTAATAATAAGAAGACTCTTCCTTTTTTTAAAAAAAGAAGAAGAAGAAGAAGAAGAAGAAGAAGAAGAAGAAGAAGAAGAAGAAGAAGAAGAAGAAGAAGAAGAAAATCCTTCCACTTATGACAACATGCATGGGCCATAGCACATGATGCTAAGCGAAACAAGCCAGACCCAGAAGAGCAAACACTATTATACAAAGAACCTGGAATAGTACAATAGAAGCAGGGAATAGAATGGCGATAAAATAGTGATTTCCTGGGGTTGGAGAAGGAGAAAATGAGGAATTATCGATCAAAGGTTACAAAGTTTGTTATGCAAAATGATTAAGTCCAATAAATGCAACTTGGTTCCCACAGCTATCCATACTATGTTATACAAACAGTTGCGGAGAGGGTAGATCTTTTGTTAAATGCCTTTTTTTCTGGTTGAATGATTAAATAAAAACTAAATGGTATGAGGAAACAGAGTGGTAGTTACGCTCATGGTATTGACTGTGGAGATGGATCCCCAGGTGCACACTTATCTCCAGATGCATCAATCACTAATCAGTTGATTAGATGTGTGTGGGTTTTTATGTCAGTAACATCTCAATAAAGTGGCTATTGTTTTAAGTTTAGCTCTTGATTGTAACGACAGGACAAGTTTTTGTCTTGAAATTATTGTGTTGTTTGACCATCTGTCACAAGAAGAGGGTATAAAATGTGTTTACAGAGTAAGTGCAGATGGTTGAGATGTTAAAATATACTTCAGGACTCTTGACTAAATATCCCAAGATGTTGATGTAAAAATGAAATTTCAAACACAAGATTTCAGAATTAAAACATCAAATAAAGTTTTCTTCTAAGATGGGGTCCTTCATGCTGTCATTCCCTTGGCTTTCCCCATGCACTTGAGTAACCAGGCCGGCTCTGTCTCCTTCAGGAAATCTGTGCCGCTGCACTGGATACAGGCCCATCATCGATGCATGCAAGACTTTCTGTAAAGTAAGTAGAAAGGAATACATGGTTGAATGCATTTTCCCCAAAACAAAACAAAACAAAGTGTAGGAGCTGCCCGGTATGTTTCTGGCAACAGTCATTTTTACTAACACAGGACCACTTCTTATCTCAGGTCTACAGTTCCTGTGTGTCATTTCATCTTGGGCAGAGGCTTAACCTCCTTGCCTAAGTTGTCAAATTGTAGCATCCCTGCAGTTTGTCATTGGCCATAAGTCATTTCTTCTAAGAAATTGCTCTTGATCTGTTTGTCTAAGTTAGGGACCCTGCCTGGTTGCGCTTGTAGCCTTCTGCTAACGTGATATGCGTCTGTGAGTGATACAACATAACACTGGTCACAGCGTGGTCCAGTTGTCCCTGTGCCATTGCATGTTTTTTTACTGGGCTGGCTGCTTGACAATGGAGGCTGTCCACCTCCAGGACAGCGTCACCACACACTAATTAGTAAACTACTCAATCATTAATGTTAATAAGAACTAATAAAACCTATAAGAGATGTTGTTTCTTCTTTCTTTGTTTTTAAACTAGTATATAAAGTAAAAGGTTCTTGTGGAAGTTTAATACACATTCAGTCACAGGTGGTCCTCTTCCACCACCAGAAGATCACTTCTGTGAGGTGAACTATGAAATCAATACCTTGTAGATAAGATCAGAGCAAGACATCAGTTCTTATTACTACTATTAGTGGTATTTAAAATATTGTTAGTACTAATAATTAACGTGGTTAATGTGTATTGCTATATGACAAGATTATCTATTAAGACCTTTATAAACTTTTTAAAATGATGACTGGTATTCAGAATTTTTTTTGTTTTTTGTTTTTCGAGACAGGGTTTCTCTGTAGCTTTGGAGCCTGTCCTGGACTAGCTCTGTAGACCAGGCTGACCTCAAACTCACAGAGATCTGCCTGCCTCTGCCTCCCGAGTGCTGGGATTACAGGCGTGCGCCACCACCGCCCAGCTCAGAATTTCTTGTGAACTTAGTTTTCATTAGAGTTAGCTTGGCTACGTTGAAGTATAAATGGTTTTCTTTTACAATGCCTTACAGTATTGGTTCTACAACTTCAACTGTAGGCACCCAGTTAACCATAGAATCCCATGGAGTTCTGACTGGCCTGTTTGTTTTGTGTTTCTCCTCTTAGGCTTCTGGCTGCTGTCAAAGTAAAGAAAATGGGGTGTGCTGTTCGGATCGAGGAATAAATGGATTGGCAGAATTTCAGGAAGGTGATGAGGTCGGTGAATGGTAAAGTTGTTATAACGTTGTTCTAGACATGAGCAGCTGCTGACTTAGAATGGTAAAGTCGTTATAACATTGTTCTAGACATGAGCAGCCGCTGACCTAGTCTTCGGAGGAATCACTGGCTGCCCAGGTTGATGAATTGGACTATGTCAGTTGTTCTCTCTCCCATGCTCACTGTCTCTCTATAACCTAAAACTTCAGCCCAGGAGGAAACTGGGGGTGGAGAAGGGAGGGTGAAGAGCTACCGTGGTCCAGCTGGGGGAGAGGAGTGGCCTCTATCTGTTCTGTGGCACAGTGGGGAGGAGTGGGGAGGAGTGGCCTCTAACTGTTCTGTGGCACAGTGGGGGGACTGCGTTTGACAAGCAGTTGACTATTTCAGATTAACAGAATCTTTAACATTCTCCACACAATGAAACAATTCATGTCTGAGATTCTAGATGCTAAATAATAACGTGATATTATCATGTCCGTGTACTGTAATGCCACTCTGCCCCACCATAGATACAACTGTTATACCAACTGAAAGCAGCAGAATCCATCTTATAAATCCGTCATACCCACTGCATCCCTCATTGTACACATCAGTCCTTTTCAAACACTGCTGACTACGGGAGAGAAAACCCCTCATCTCTGCGGTCTCTCAGTTTTTAAACAGCATTTTCAGCGACCAGAAGCAAAGTGGAGTTGGAGATGGAGGAACAGGGACAGGAGAGGTGGAGACTCCACGTCTCCCTTGAGTTCTCAGTGTCTGCTTGCTCCTCCACTGTCCCCAGACTCGAAG